GTATCCCGGGGCGACGCTGTCCGAGCCGCCCGGGGCCAGGATCCCGGAGGAGGATCCTGAGACCATGTGGGCACGGCCGCGCTTCCCAAATCGTGGCTCACGTACCCTGGCCCTTGGAGAAGAGGTTGGCGGGTACTTAGGGCTCCTGGTGAGGCGCCGGGACCCACCTGTGGGACTCGGGCTGGCCGGGTCACCTGAGCTGCGCTGTGAGGACTTGCTTCCCTGTTAGAACCGGGCCCAGGGAGTGTGTTTGGTCGGGGAGACCCAGGAGGAGGTGTCGCTTGGGGAGAGGGTCTGGGCAGCTGCAGAAGAATCTCAGGACTTCAGAGGTGACCCCTCCCTGTCGGGGCTGGAGTGGTGCTGTCTTCTCCCCCAGGCTTGGGAGAGGGATGCCTGGTCTTTTCAAGGAGCGGGTTGCAGGCGCCACTTGGTTCTGGATGCTCTGTCCCAGCTTCCAGCAGGTCCCCGAGGTGGGCAGGGCAAGGAGTGTGGCCCTCTCTGGGCTTCAGGAGCCTGTTTGGGGGGCGAAGCTGAGTCTGCAGTTGCTTTTCTCCCAAAGGCCTACATCCCCTTGTGCCCAGACAAGGGGCCGGGTTACCTGCAGAGGGCCCGTCAGTACAGCGCACCTGCACCAGTGGAGGGGCTTGCTGAGAGGCAGGAGAGGGAGACCTGCGTCCCTTCAGGCTGACACAGCCCTGTCCCTGCCCACAGGTGTCCCAGACCAGCTAGGAGTGAGCATGGCTGAGCAAGAGCCCACAGCTGAGCAGCTCGCACAGATCGCAGCTGAGAACGAGGAGGATGAGCACTCCGTCAACTACAAGCCCCCTGCCCAGAAGAGCATCCAGGAGATCCAGGAGCTGGACAAGGATGACGAGAGCCTGCGCAAGTACAAGGAGGCCCTGTTGGGCCGCGTAGCCGTGTCTGCTGGTAAGTGGGCTGAGGCAGCACCAAAAGGGATGCTTGTCACTTCTGGGTTTCAGCCGCCAGCCCCGCCCCCCAGCCTCCAGCAAGTGGGAGGTGGGGAGGCCCTCCAACCCACTCTCCCTCCGCAGACCCCAACGTCCCCAATGTTGTTGTGACCCGCCTGACCCTGGTGTGTAGCACAGCCCCGGGCCCCCTGGAGCTGGACCTGACAGGTGAGTGGCATCACTGAGGTCCTCCCGCCTGCCACCCTGCTGTTTCCGCCGAAACTAGTTCTCGGAACGTGGGTGCCCCCTTGTGGGGGGAGCGAGAAGCGCTACCAGGAAGTCTGCAGGCTCTGGCTTTGGAGGGACCTGGGCGGCGGGTGGGGTCAGGGTGGGGGCGGAAGGAGCGCCGAGCGCTGCCGATGGGAGATGCTGAGGCGGGCAGCTTCCCGCAGCTGAGCCTTTTAGTGCAATCTTCTTGGGCACAGGGGACCTGGAGAGCTTCAAGAAGCAGTCCTTTGTGCTGAAGGAGGGCGTGGAGTACCGGATAAAGATCTCTTTCCGAGTAAGGCAGAGGCTGTGGGAGGAGCTGGGAGGTGTCGGGCCTGGAGGGCCCCACCGAGCTCTGTCTGGGTTCTCCCCCTGCAGGTGAACCGGGAGATTGTGTCAGGGATGAAGTACATCCAGCACACGTACAGGAAAGGCGTCAAGAGTGAGTGGGGCGTTGGCCCTGCCCCCGAGATGGCGTGGCACCACCTAGGTGGCCTGTGGGAGGGGGCAGGGTGGAGGTGGCCGCCCAGGGCTCTGGGACCAGGAGGGAGAGGAAGATGGCTGTGTGTGCCCTCAGCCCTGGCGGGATCGGGAGCACCGGTGACCCGTGTGTCTCCTGCACACAGTTGACAAGACTGACTACATGGTGGGGAGCTACGGGCCCCGGGCAGAGGAGTACGAGTTTCTGACCCCCATGGAGGAGGCACCCAAGGGTATGTTGGCTCGCGGCAGCTACAACATCAAGTCCCGCTTCACAGACGACGACAAGACTGACCACCTGTCCTGGGAGTGGAACCTTACCATCAAAAAGGAATGGAAGGACTGAGCCCTGGCCCGGGAGGCGGGCAGGCCTTCGGACAGACAGACGGACCTGTCTGACACGCCCCACCCCTACCGCCCCACCCCATCCCAACCCCTTACCAAAGTGCTGACGGGTCTGCTCCCCCTGGCCGACCCTTCCCATCCCTCCCGGCCCCGCCCCGCAGGCCCCAGCCTCCTCGGTGGTCTCGCCTTGCTGCTTCTGCCTGTGCTGGGGGTGGGGAGGGGGGAGGGAGCCTCCAGGCCAGGCCCCCACCTCCCCTTCCGTACCCCTTCATGTTCCCCCACCTGTCCTCACCTGACCTGAGGCCCTGGCTTTTCCGAGGGAATCTCGTGGGGGTGCTCGGGTCCCTGTGGGCCTTCGCAGTAGCCCTGAATCCTGTTCTTTCTCTTCTTCCGGGATGGGGGTGGGGTGGGGTGCATGACTCGAGGCCTTTTGGGGGCCAGCCACCCTCCTGCTTTCACCTGTCCCCGGTCAGTTCATCCATCGCTGTCCGTAACCGTCTAACCATGATGCCTTAACATGTGGAACGTGTGCTGTGGGGGCTGTCACTAACCTCTAACCCCCCGTGTCTGCATGAGCATGTGGTCTCCCCCGGTCCTTGCCCCCTCCGCAATCCCCGTGGCCCGGGGAGGTGTGTGGGATGTGCTGCTGCTGCTCCCCTGCCCGCCAGGGCCTAGCCAGCCCCCTCCCCTGGCCAGGGCAGTGGGGGCGGCTCCAGGGGCTTGGGGAAAGCCAAATTGCCAAAACTGAAGTTGCCTCCATTCCCATATGGGAGGCCAGGTGTCCTCACGCCTCTGCCTTCTCTGTCCCAGGGGGCGGTGCAGGAGCCCGGGGCCCCAGCACACAGCCCTTGCCGGACAGAGCCAGCGGCCGAGCCTTACTTGTCCCACCCGGGCCTGCCGGCCTGGTGTCGTGTGCCTGGCCGGTCAGTATTTATTGCCTCCATATGTGCCGTCCTCTGGGCCCCCTGGCCTGCCACCTCTGCCCCCAGGCTCGGTGCCACCATCCCCGGCAGGCCATCCCCGGACCCAGCCAGGACAGCTGCGGGACCAAGCCGCACAGTCGGAGCCCTCCCCTGTGCCTCCCTCCCCTTGCCTCCCTTGTTAGGCCTGGGCCTAGGATGTTCCGGAGCCTGACCCTGCTTCTCCTTTTCTGACCGGGAAATAAACTCCCCCAAAGGAGCCAGGGTGTCTGCTGCTTGTCTCCGGGGGCGGGGGGGGGGGGGGGGGGCAGTAGGGACGCACCGGGAAGTGCTGGCTCTTCCCCAGGCAGTAGCCACTGCCCCTGCAGCCCTTGAAGAAGGAAGGCTTTCTGAGGAAGGAAGGCTTTCGTACCAGTTTCTTTTTAAAGATTTTTACCCATTTATGAGAGAGACACAGGCAGATGGAGAAGTAGGCTTCGTGCAGGGAGCCCGATATGGGACTCGATCCCGGGACTCCAGGATCATGCCCTGAGCCAAACCAAACTGCTGCTCCACCCGGGCTGCCCGGCTTTCATGCCAGTTTCGTGTGGCCAGTGCTTCATGGCAGTTGGAGGCCTGGAGTCTCCCCAAAGGGCCTGTGTTGCAGGGGTTCTGGGCCAGTGGGGAGGTGCAAGTGTGCAGCAGGCCTGTCTGGGAGGTCTGGAGCACAGGCTCCGCGGAGGGAGTCCCCCCAACCCGGAAGAAGGGGAACCTGGCTGGAGCCCGGAGGCCTGCGCGAGAGGGAGGGGGACTGGAGGGTCCCTGCAGCTGGGGCAGGAGGCTGGAGGGAAGTGGGTGCCACAGGGAGCACCCGAGGCTGGCCCTGCCCCGGTTCCCTGTGGAGCCAGACAGAGATCAGGGGCCCGAGGCAGAATGGGTGGAGTGGGGTTGATGGGAGGACTGGGGGACCCTCACTGCTTAGAGGTGCAGGAGCAGCAAGGGGGGAACCCCTCCGCAGGGCTGTAGGGCAGGATGACCTGCCTCCTCCTAGACCGCCCAAGGGCACCAGCAACTGCGCCGCCCCTCCCCCGGCCCGGGGTGGGGAGAGGCACATGGGCCACCCGAGCTCCGGGGACCCTCTGCCGTGTCGCCCGCTGTGAAACCTGCTCTTTCCGTGGCCTGAAGTGGCTTAGAGTGTGCCCTCCCAGGCCCCGCCGGCGCGCCCCTCCGCTCCTGCAGCGGGGGCTGGTGCAGCCTGGTGACCCGGGCCTGGGGCCGGGGCCCCCTGCTGGCTGACTCGTGCAGGTGGCACTGCTTGCTTAGTGGCGGCAGCGGCCGCGGCAAAGAGCGGGCCCGCCCCCAGCTGGGCGCCCGAGCCCGCCTCCCGCCGCCCCACCTTTCCCAGGCTGCTTCCTGGGAGGCCCAGGGTGGCCCCGCGCGGTCAGCACTGCTCTACCGGCGGGGCCCTCCGAGCCCCTGACACGTGAACTGGGACCCTACCTGCCCCGTTGTGCAGGCTCCCTGCCAACAGCCAGGACTTTGTGCTGGCTCCGCCCCGGGTGAAGGGCGACGTCGGGTGGTGCCCGCAGGACTTACATGACGTGTCTCTTGGGTCCCAAGTCTAACCTGATTTTCCTCCTGGCTCCACGCGGAACCTGGGAGCCAGGGCGTGTGGTCCTCTCTCCTCCCGTCCTCAGCCCGTGCCCCCCAGGAATCCCCAAGCTGCCCCCTCATCTACTCCCAGGTGGGCCTCTCTTCCTTGAGGAAGTGCCAGTGGATGCCAGGTCAGGACCTCTGATGGGACCGACTCATTCCTGTGACTTAGTACAATCTCCATGCCCAGCACTGTCCCACTCCAACATCAGGACCCCTTCCTGCCCCCAGGCCGCTCCTCACTGTGTCCCAGAGTGCACACGGGCTGGCTGTGCTGGCTGTGCGGTCCTGCCCCACTGGGACCCTACAGTCAGGAGCCGCCAGCGAGCACTTCCTGGCTGCCGTGAGCCTGCTGGTGACTCCCTCGAAACCTACCCTGTCACAGACTGCGAGGGAGCTTTACTCTGAGAACTCTTACTTTTGAGAATAGTATTTATCAAAACGTCACTCAGTACTTCAAACGAGATTTAATGGGCAGCTTCTCAGAGAAGGAGAAATGCCCGGAGGATGCCCTGGAGCCGCTGTGCTGGTCCTGAGAGATGCCAGAGCCACTGTCACAAGGGCACATTCCAGTGCAGGGCCCTGGGTGCAGGGTGAACAGCCTCGGGGCCTCTCTCTGGAGCTGCCTCTGGAAGATACGTGAGGGGACCCTTGGAAGGAGATCCACACCAGGCCTCCCCTCCAAGCCGAGGCCTGCAGAGGTGTTCAGTGAACCTGTGTTCCGAGACCAACCCCACAGAAACTGGGGATCTCGGGCCTTCCCCAAATCAGGCCTCCTTCCAACTTGGAGGACCCCAACATTGCTGCTCTTGCACAGGTTGGCACAAGACCAGTTCAAGAGGCGCAGGCACCCTGAGAAGCACACAGTGCAGCCAAGATACCAAACACCGTGCCCCCTCCAGGCCAGAGCCCTGCTTAGGCTTTGCTCTTCACAGGACATGACTTGGCCTTGCCACCTGGGCTGCACTATCATCACCTGCATCAAGGTGTGTCGGCTGCCCTTGGCTACATGGAGGCACAGACTCAGCTACCAGAAGGCTCGGTCATGGCCGCAGCTGGACCCTTGTCTGGTTTGTTCTCCCCTGGGTCCCAAAGTTCTCATTTTTTGTCAAGACGGTATGCTCCTGGGTGAAGCTGCTCCAAACCATCACAGACTCATCAACATCATGATATCTTAAATCTCTTCGCTCTGTCCCCATCAGCAGGAAAAAATGAAGCTGCAACATGCAGCCATCTAAACACTGGTCTTTATGAGTGCCTCTGAAAGCCGGACAAGGTACAAATATTGCTTATATCCGACCCAAAATTGTGGTCTATACAATAAGGGTCACGGTAATCACAAAAACGTCGGAAGACACGGCAGCAGCCATGAAGCAACTGCCACCCATTGGAAAAAGCAAAGGGGACTTTGCTTGCCATTAGTTACGTAGAGCTGTCATCCATCCAGGGCCCCACTGAAGCCGGGCTGAGTGGCAGCTGCCAGGCACGTGTGCATAGCCCTTCTGCCCCAAGCCCCAGCAAAGCCCCAGCTCAGAGGACACAGGGATGCCGGCAGGGGCACCCCCTCTGCTGACCCTTGCTCTAGTGACACGAGCGGGGGGAGGGGGGGGCAAGACACGGAGAACCTGGTCTTGACCTTCAGGAACTCGCGGAGTGGAGGGAGCCCCAACAGGAGGTGAGAGAGCGCGGCCTCACCAGCCAAGGCAGCAACAAAATGCGAACTCTGGAGGGTACAAAGGCACCTTTTCTCTGTGTCTGACCGTTTGTGAAATGAGGACGTTAGGGCAGCCAACGTGTACATGGAGCGTGGGCGTTTCTCGCCTTCCGGCCAAGTCATTAAATTGATGATTAGTCCTCAAACCACTGGTGGTGGCCCTTTCGTAAGAGAGGAAGCCAATTAAACGAAGAGGAAGGTTTCCTGGAGGAAAAAAACGGCCTGTTGGGGGGGGGGCGGGGGGGCGGGGCGGGCTGCTGGGACGGGGCCTGCTGACCGGTCTAGCGCGGGGCCAACGAAAACAACGTGAGCCACGCTTTGCACGTTACTTTAACTAAATGTCACTTTAAGTTTCCTAGTTCCTAGTTTAAAAAAAAGAAAAAAAAAAAACCACGCGGCTAAAACGGGAGTATTTCCAGTTAACCCAGTGCATGCAAACTATCGATACGTGTCCACACACGCATCTCGGGGATCCCCGTCCTGCCTCCGAGTCCCGGCCGGTGCTCCGCAGCCTCGCGGCCGGCGGGGTCGGGGAGCGGCTGCAAGCGCGGGGCCTCCCGCCGGCCGGACACTGGCGGCGCTCGGGCCGCTGCCCCGAGGCCCCGGGAGCACGTCCCCGCTTCCGGGCCCGCCGGGGGACCGGCCCCCCCCCCCGCCCCCTCCTGCTGACCCCGCTCGGCCTCGGCCCGCCCCGGGCCCCCCGCGCCCCTGGCCCGCGGCCTCCGCAGGCACCGCCCGAACCTCACGCGCACCGGAAGTCGCGTTGCCCCAGCTTCCGGCTGGGCGAGCGGGTGTGTGCGGGGGGAGCGGTGTCAGTTACGGGCAAGCCGTCCAATCAGAATGCAACACGAGGGGTTTCAGAGGCGCAGGCGCAGCCCCGCCCCTCAGCCGGGAGCTCCGCCCCACTGCCACGTTCGACGAAGGATCGCGCGGGGCGTGCGCGCCTCTCTTGGCCAATCAGGAGCCGCGCAGCCCGGGCCGCCGGAGGTAGCAGCCAGTCCCGACCCGCGGAAGCCGAGGGAGAAAGCCACCAGTCACAAGTCGAGGAAGAGAAAGTTGTCCCCCGGGAGCCAATGAGGAGCCCGGGAAGACTGCGAGCGCGAGCTCCTCGGCCAATCGCGGGCGAGGCCGAGGGCAGCGGCCACGGCGATTCCGAATCCGGGGTCGGGGGCCAGGGCGGGCAGCCAATCCGAGCGCCTCGGAGGCGGGCCCCGGAGCCCGCCAGCCAATCGGGCGCGGGAGCGGGCGGGCGCGCGCGCGGCGGCGGCCAGGCTTATAGGGGCGGGGCGGGCAGCGCGCGCTCTCGTGGCCTCGCTGTCCCGGCGGCGCCAACCGAAGCGCCGCGCCCGCTGCCGACATGCTGCGCCGCGCTCTGCTCTGCCTGGCCCTGGCCGCGCTCACGCGCGCGGGCGCCGCCGCCCCGGAGGAGGAGGACCACGTCCTGGTGCTGCACAAGGGCAACTTCGAGGAGGCGCTGGCGGCGCACAAGTACCTGCTGGTGGAGTTCTGTGAGTGCCGCCGGCCGGGCCGGGCCGGGCCGGGCCTGGGGGCGCGGGGGGCGGGGCGGGGCCCCCAGGGCTGCCGGCGCTCCCCGCCCGCGGATGCACGGGCCGCGCGCCGACGCTGCCCCGCGAGCCGCTGTCAGTCCCGGGGGCGCCCCTCCTGCCCCGGGGACCCAGCCCAGCGCGCCGCCGCCGCGCCGCCGCCCGCCAGCATCACCAGCCCGGCCCGGGCGGAAACCTAGAGCCCAGCGGCGGCCCTGCCCGGCGCCCCGAGCACCGGAGCCACAGCGGCGCCAGGCCGCGTGCACACCCGCCCCGCACACGCCCGACCGGGTCTCGCTCCGTGTGCAGGTGCCGCGGCGCCGGCCTCCTAGTCCTGTGCTCCCCGGGCCAGCGCAGGGGCCCCCGCCCTTGCCGCCTGCGGGTGCTCGGAGGGTGCCCCGGAGTTTGTCCCGTGCTGACCGTGCTGACTGTGGCGGGGCGCGGGGGGCGGGGGGCGGGGGGCGGTGTGGCGCTGTCGTTCGTGGCCTCTGTCCCGATATTGCCTAAGAGCATCGAGCTATCAGCTCAGCCCCGCGCGTTCACAGGGGGTTATCTCGGCGAGCAGATAAGGTTTTTATGGAAGGAAGTGCGCACCACAAGGTGACGGGAGCGGTGGAACCTGGTCAGTGCTGCTTCCTAGCACCCCGCTTGCTCTTCCAGATGCCCCTTGGTGCGGCCACTGCAAGGCTCTGGCCCCCGAGTACGCCAAAGCCGCCGGGACACTGAAGGCAGAAGGTTCGGAGATCAGGCTGGCAAAGGTCGATGCCACCGAAGAGTCTGATCTGGCCCAGCAGTATGGGGTCCGTGGCTACCCCACGATCAAGTTCTTCAAGAACGGAGACACGGCTGCTCCCAGGGAGTACACAGGTGCGGCCGCCACGCTGCCCCTAAGTGCCTGCAGGCTGCGCAGGGAGCCTGAGGGGCAGGAGGGGCCCTGTCCTCGGTCCACTTCGGCCTCTCCGGCTCTCGGGGGGAGGAGCGTTCCCAATCCCTGCAGAATCCTTTGGGTGGAGGAGGGCAGCCTTTTGGGGTGCATAGCAAGCTGAGGCTGGTTCTACGATTGACCCTGAGAAGAGAAGGGCTGGGGCCCCTGGGACCTCACAGAGCAACAGGTGTAGTGATAGCTAACCCAGGTGTGCCAGCCGGCGTCACTCACCTGTCACGGAGCTCAGACGCAAGGCCAGCTGGGTGCCGCACGAGCCCTCGTGGCCGCCTCTGGGGCTGCCTCCTGAGGGCTGGGCTGCGCTGCGGCTCGTAGGTACTGACGAGAGGAGAAACTTTTGTCTCTAGAACCGGTTCTGTAGCTCCCTGTCAGAACGCTCTGGAGCAGCCTAGTTAATCCTGACGCCGGTGACTCTGGTCTGCGTCTTAGACTGCTGTTCATTGTTCCCACGTTCACTTGTGGAACAGGAAGCGCAGAGCTGTCACGATCCCCTCGCTGACACGTAGCTTTGAGAACAAGACGGCTACTGCTGATTCCACCTGTAACTGATGACTCAGCTTTGAGCTGCCACTTAGGAGAATCCTTCTTAAGTGTGAGCTTTCGCAACCTTTCTCGCGTTGGACCAGCGAGCCAAACTGAGGGGAACGGTGACTGGCCCCAGTCTCAGGAGGAGCAGGCTCCTAGCGCTTCGTTCGGTCTGCCCTGTGGCACGCAGGTGCATGATCACGCTCCCTCCCTAGTCTGGGAGGCACATGCAGTAGGCCACAGCAGCCACGGACAGGGACACCTGAGTGGCCTGGATGCCCAAGGCCAGCTGTTGCTCAGCCTGTTGTCACAGGGAAAGCTGGTGTTCGTCTGACTTACCAGCCTTTTTTTTCCCCCTTTTTAAAAAGTTGCACTGCATCTTTAGGATGAGTGAGGCCCCGGGGGAAAGTGCGTGTGAGGTGTGTGTGTTTAATGAGTTTAAAAGACAGGGAAACTCAGAAGATGGAAAGGGACTGGAAAGGGAAAAGGAGCGGTAGCCCTGTTGCTCGGCAGTAGCCGCTGCCTTTCCCCTGCTCCAAACTCAGTCACGGTTTCTCGTGTGCTCAGGAAAGCCTTTTTAGCCCTAGAATTTGCACAGGTGTGTAGACAAGGTGGCTCTTCTGTGGAAAGAGAATATCCTGCCTTGGTTTTGGCAGAGCTCAGAGGATGATGGGCAGGGAGGGTGGGCCTGGGTTTCAGTGGAATGTGCATGTGTTTGGGTGCAGCTGGCAGAGAAGCTGAGGACATTGTAAACTGGCTGAAGAAGCGCACAGGCCCTGCTGCCACCACGCTGCCCGATGGGGCCGCCGCAGAGGCCTTGCTGGAGTCCAGCGAGGTGACCGTCATTGGCTTCTTCAAGGTAGAGGCTTTGGAACTTCATTTCGGGCCTTCTCCCCAACACACAGCCCCCCTTCCCCATCGTCATTGGTTTCCCGTGGCCTGGGCAGTGGGCTGTCCTGTTGCTGACCCAGGCAGGGAGCCTCAGTGTCTGGGTGTCTGGCCACCTCTGCTTCTTCTTCCCTGTAGGACGTGGAGTCGGACTTTGCCAAGCAGTTCTTGCTGGCGGCAGAGGCCATTGATGACATACCTTTCGGGATCACGTCCAACAGCGACGTGTTCTCCAAATACCAGCTGAGCAAGGATGGGGTTGTCCTCTTCAAGAAGGTGAGTGCCCCCCCCCCAGCCCCGCCCCAGGTGAGATGCCGCGGCCAGGGGCTGCTTTCCTTATTGCTCCCAGCGCCCGAGGACCTTGGCCGGGCGGCGCTGGACCGCCAGCTGGACTCATCGAGCACCTGTTTTGCAACATCAGACCTGAGGAGCCACTTAGACAGTGGCCTTCAGACTTTGTGCTGTGGGTCCTTCGTTCTGGCTTGTGTGGCAGTACCAGGGCTGATGAAAGCAGAGCCACTCTGGGGTCTTAGTTCTCTCTCTCTCTCTCTCTCTCTTTTTTTTTTTGTCTTAGTTCTCTTTAAAAAAATGTTACAAGACACGTAGCAAGGTTTGCCATTACGATAGTTTTAAGTACGTGGTCGTAAGTATGTCGCATCAATGATGTCGACACTGCTGTGCGACCCTTACTGTTTCCATGACCTCTGGGCTCACCGGAAACCTACTGGAGTCTCGCCACTGCTGGCCCGGGCCCCACGGTGCGGCGAGCACAGGTCCGGGACCGGTGCCTTTCAGTTGCTTGCGCCATTGCTGGGACGTGGCCTGGCTTACGTGTACGGTGTTACCACAGGGCCTCGTGTTTCTGGATTTTTATTTTAGCCACTAGGCAGCCAGGTGGGCTGGTTGAACGGCCTTGCTGGGGAGCACGGCTGTCCCCACGTCGTCCCTGTGGGTCGGCAGCATGTGGCTCAGCACAGGCAGCGGAGGCGAGGGCAGGAGGCATGTCTTGGGCGTGGAGACAGGGCAAGAAGAGGGCAGGTGTAGGGCTCCCGAAAGGTGGCGCACCCCGCGGTCCCGAGGGGCGCCGGTCTCTGCCTGTGTGTGCACCCCACGTGTGGGCCTGGCAGCTGTGTAGTGAGGGTGGCCTCTGGCACGGAGCCCGGGGCTGCTGGGAGGGGCGAGGGTGCCTCCTGGTCGCACTCCTGGACCCGGGACACCACGGCTAGGGGGGGCTTGCTCCGGTGCCCTGGCTGTTCCGCTGTTGCCCCTCCCCGGGAACTCCACGTGCTCTTCCCGAGGCGCCGATCCTCACATACTCCCCGGAGGCAGCGGAGTTGCTAGATTAGCCAATCGTCATCACACAGGGGTCCAGGAGATCCCAGTTCCCAAGTGAGGGGAGCCCGTGGGAGCCCCGGGGGCCGGGGCGGGAGGTGAGAGTCCTGGGTCCTGGGGTGGAGGCTGACGGAGGGGGAGAGTTTTCTCTGAGGCCGCCAGGGCCGCACACCTTGCTGGGTCCTCGCACTGCTTTCCCATCGCCCTGAAGTTCCAGGGCACCAGTTTTCACGCACGCCCCGTGCTGCTCCACGTCCTTGAAGGTCTGTGGAGGCAGCGTGTGCGGGAGCTCAGCCGTGGGCCGACCGACGAGTGCTTGCTTCCCGTTGTCCATGCGCGCTGGGCACAGCCGGGCCCCTGGGGCTGGGGCTGGCTGGCGGGCAGCCTGGAGCATGAGTCTGGCAGAACCGGGGACTTGGTGCCGCGCAGGTCAGTGGTTGCCCCACCGGGCGGGGGGCTCAGGTCCAGCCCCTCCCAGGTTCCTGCGGGGCCGCCCGTCTTCTCCACGTGACGCCTTTGCTTGTTCCTTCCTCCAGGGTCCAGTTGCGCACAGTGCGCTGGGTCTGCCTGTCTGCCCGGGGCTGGGTGCCTCCCC